TTTTGTTAGTGCCTAAACTTCTAGAGAATCAGGTTTATTTAATTTTAATGGGTATTTATTAGAAGTGTCCTATGTCATTAGCATTATAGAATGGAGCCCTTTATCTCACTTAAGGTCTCTTTTTACCAAGCATATCATCTGAAAATCACCAGTTATCATCTGCTTCCAACAACCCAGAATTTCAGTGAAATCTTTGCAGCCAAATAGGCAATATGATCCTGTCCAATTAGTTAAATAAACTGACGAAGCTTAGCTGACAAAGCGGTGATAATGCTCCGAGATAATTGTAGGGGGTGCTTTCAGATCACACTGGTTGGCTGCATTTAACCCCTCACCAGGCATCACTCAGGCAATTAACAAGATACTGGGAATTAATGGTGGCCATGGTGACCAGGATGAGAATGCTAAATCTAGAAGGAGAAGTAAGGCTTGCTTTCAGCTGCTATGGACACTGTCCCCTTGCAGTACAGTCTCCTTGTCCACCAAGGGCACTTCCTGAGAGGCAGCACCCACAGAGACCCATGGCAGCGTTCTTTCAGTGAGAGACATGCCATCAGGTAACTCTTTGTAAAGGGTAACAAATTTAATAATCACAAAGGAAGTTCTGCCACATTCTTTAAATTGTGACAAATGACATGAAACAAGTTCAAAACAAATATTTCTTCAGAGTTTATTAGGACAGGCGCATAACAGAAAGCTCAAAGATTGACAAAGCTACTAATTCTTGAAGGGGACCCTGAGCCTCCCTTCAGAAAGTTATGTTGTAGCTTTAAGAAGGGGTGTACCCTGTGAGCCTTCCCTCCCCATAGCCTGGGAAACACTCATCAATGCACTGAAGTCCCTTCTATCTGAACATCCCATAGTTTCAGGATCCATGACATTGATTTGATACATTTTAAAATATTTACATTCTCTCTGAGGGATCAAGGTGTGATTACTAACATTTACAATAGCCCACCGACAACAGAGAACAAGACTGGCCACCACAAAACTCAAGCTTAAACCCATCTGTCAATGAATTTCGACTCTGGAAGAACAGGTTAAAACTGCAGAGAGGAGCCATTTGCCACATTTCAGGTAAGGTGGCAAGGATGGAAAGTCCAGAGTTCCCAACTGAAACAGAAGGGTTCTGTCAAGAACAGGTCACACGATGCTGTTTTCAACCAGCCCTTGAGTGAGGGGTCATCGGGGTGTCTGGTTGTTGAATCCATGGAGGACTGACGAGTGTCTGCCCCCGTTTTGGTTGACAGGTTTCACAAACCACACAGTCAAGACCTGGGTTTGGGAGCCAGGGAAGGGACAGATGTTTTGAGGGAGCCTATCTCAGATTCCCATGCTAAATCTATTGTTGAAGGACATGGAAATATGCAGGGGCATTAAGCCATTTTGCAGGTGCTAGAAAGCAATGCTTTCCTGTTTTCCTGATTCAGACAATGGGGAAGCTAAGAAGAAAAATAATAGGAAAAGGCTTTCCTATATTTGCTTTAAAAATTTATGTTATTTTGAATTGAGTAACCTTTTTTCCTTTTTTGGTCAAATCTCATCTCTGTTCCTTTCATTTTTCCAGAAATATTTATGGGAAAAGAGGACTGGAACAAAAAGACCTAATGATCCTATCCCCCTGTTGAAAGTTCTCACTGGTTGGTGAGAACAGTTCACAAAAGGGCTCCTGATTAGGAACTCAAAGAGGCTGAAAACTCCATGAGGAGAAAAAGAACTCATTTCCTAAGCAGTGTGTCCTGCACAGTGAACACAACCACACATTCAGAAACGTTTGACTTTCATCCCACCTTCTCCACTGCTCTGGGGAAAGTGTCAGGATAGACCTTCCCAGAGCTAGTTTGTCCCTGGGTAAGAGGCCCTCAGAAAGCAATACATGCCCCATGCTTCTTTTCTTTCTGGCCTTTTTGCCAGGTGGGATTCACCCAGTTACTGTCCCTGAGAAAATGCCATGAGTATGCACAGTACTATGAAGTGGTTATGGTGATGGTGATAATAGTTAAAACGATGAGTAGGTCACCAAGGCCTGAAGATGGATACATCTGGGTTTGCATCAAAGCCATGCTACCTAGATACCAGGGAAAATTAGGGCATTCGTGAGTCCCTCTCGAGGCATTTCTTTTTAAGTAGTTCATTTTCTGAACTCTTCAAATCACTGTGTGTGTGTATTGGGGGGGGTGTTATTGCATCACCTGTCTTCAACAATGAACAAAAAATAATGAAGGGGCTAGTGTTATAGCTCCTGGAAAGCACGTGTCTAGCATACTTACGGTGCTGGCTCCCATCACCAGCACCACATAAAAGACAAAAAGGAATGATGGTCACTTGAAACTAAGGGATGAGCGTGATAGAGCTGAAGGCTTGAAGGTACCCCCCCCCCGCCCCGATTCTCTGGAATTCTTTGGAAAATAAAGAGTAGGAAGAGATGGGTGGGTTCTAAATACAGTTTTTCCAGGTATGAACTTAGGAAAATTCTGTGGCCAAGAAGAACTTTCTCTCATCCTCCCAGGCAGGGATTGTTCTGTCTCTGCTCACTGATTTCTTGGGTGGTGGGGGCATAGCCTAGCAACCTTGGCCCCCTCTGGCCAACAGAAGTTCACTTATTAGATTCTCGAACCCCAAATTTTCCAGTCTCAAACATTAGGACAGCAAGACTGGATGGGAGAGTAAAGGCCTCTTAGATTCTCGAACCCCAAATGTTCCAGTCTCAAACATTAGGACAGCAAGACTGGATGGGAGAGTAAAGCACCTGTTTAGGCACAGTGAGTGGCTTCAGTGGCCTCGATGCATGAGGTATGCTTCTGCACAGGCATTGGCAGTTGAAGATGAAAGAGCCCCCGTCTCCATGGAGCACACTTTGAGGAAATATGTCCATCAATCCCTTCCCTGCTGTGGGTCTCACAGAGAGGATCCAGCGCCCCTGAGGGTGTTGGGGATGGGGTTCCAAGTCTACACCCTGAGTGGTCTTGATCAGCTTAAGTCCGACAGAGCAGCCCAAGCATATTCCAAGCAAGACTATAGGGAACCTAGACTCAGTTTGTCTTCCTCCTCCCCTCAAGCCATAAGAGTGAGTGAGCAGTGTGGGTCTGAAGGTAAAAGCACTGCATTTGGGTTCATGTCAGTACATACAGACACTGCCAGCTATCTAAAATCATCTGAATACTGGATGCTGGTCTCTGTAATGGACTGGCTGCCAATCTCAACTATTGCCAGGGCTCCTGTGGTCCAATGAATTTTCTTGCCAATTAAACACAGCTTTGATCTCTCTTAGGTTCCAAATATCCAAGTTCCAATTGAAAGACAGATGGTGAACTGACTTTTAAATGCACAAATTTCAGGCACCCTCCTGAGCTCCATATTTCTCCACCATCCTCCAACTTGTTTTTTTTTGGGGGGGGGTGTTTTGTTTTTATTTTTTAAAGATATTTCCTTAATTCCTCAGGCCTTGAATCTGGTCATTATTCATCTTCACTCCTCAAATGTCAGCTTGAGGGATGGGTGCATTTGAAGGCAGAAATGAAAGGGCACCCTGGTCTGAGAACAAAGACTTTGGATCCCATGATGGAGACACTCTCCATGTCTCTGCTTCCCAAATGCACAGGCAGTAAAAACCTTCCATGAGACCCGAGGCTGCCTAGAGATACTGAAGTGACTCACCAGGGCTGCCTTCCAGGACCCAGACAGACCTGCGTAGCTGGAACACCATCACCAGCAGCAAGCTTAAGGGATCCTTTTGCAAATGTACACTTTGAAATAAACACGTCAGTCATACAATGACTCTAAGCAGTTTTAACGGTTGCAAAATAGCCTAGCCGTTCTCTCTTCCCCTTTCCCTTTCCTCTTTATCTCCTTTCTTAAGCAAACAGAGAGAACCTTCTGAGTGACTAGTCCTTGATTTGATGTATGCCACACCCACAAGACAGGTCTGAAGTGCTCCTGATGATGTGCTCTTAACTGGGAACTGTGCTTAAGCAACATTCATGTGACAGTATTCAAAGCAAAGCCTGTCACCTGGTTCACACATCTTTTCCTTTCAGTCAGAATAGAATGGAAGCCTCCTATCCCAACTACCCAGTTAGTGATGGTGTTAAGGGGAGACAGGATGCCCTGCAGTAGAGTCTGGGCCTTTGCTGCCTCAAAGACAAATTGTTCTTGGGGCTTTGTTACTGTTTCTTAGTAGCCAAGTGTGCATTAACTTCAGTCCATTCAGATAATTTAGTTCAAATAGCTGTTATCTCAATCCCTGATGCTTCCCTCTGGATTATGCTTTTACCAAGACCTCTCAGTCACTTGAAGGAACTTTCTAGTTCCCAGCTTTACTTACCCCATAGGCTCAAGATTGTCAGAAGGTTAAGAATGAGGGGTTAGGATGTCTAAACATCCTGCCTGCTTGCTCCCTAAGCAGTTGGTTGAACTTCCTCTCATTCTGACAGTTTCAACAATAGTGAGGGGGATTGAGGGGAAATGCCAGAAGGCAAATATACACAAAGGCAACCATCCTGAAAAGGTCCCCATAGGAAGGGTAGGACCTTCTTCTCACAGAGTTAAATAATTAAGTGGTTTTGTTCTCCAGCCTAAGAAGGAAAGGTATCGTTTCCATCCTAATTAGCACCAGTAGCTCCTTTTCTTCTCTGATGAGTGAAGAGATAAGAAAAGTCTTTGAAGCCTTCCCACCCCACTTCCCCCCACCCTGCCCCCATGACTCCTCATGCCCTGATCAGGAACCAGAGGAACACATTAAAATCAGTCAATTATCGATTTGAAAAGAGTGTGTGAGGCCTGTCAATATCCACAAAACTCCCAGCAACGACAAGCCAACACACAGCTTTCACCCCCCAGGCATATCAAATGCAACTGGAAAATACCTGCCCATCCCAAGTCACCAGGCTCTTAAGGGGAAAGTGCATATTGTTTGCTGAGAGTCCAGTCCAGTCTTTGACTGGGAGTTGAAAGTTCTGAAAGTAGTGGCAGCTGCCTGTGTTTCTATGGCCACATTGTCTTCAGCAGTCCGTCCCAGGTGTTGGGCTGTGGAAAACAAAAGATTACAGTGTTGGAAGCTGTGGAATTCTGCAACATCCACTTCTCTGGGTCCCTTGCCTCCACTCCACATGCACTCACAGGACAGATAGGCGCCCCTTGGACTTCACTGCTGAGGCTGGGTTTAACATCAAATAGCCAGCTAAATTCTTCCTGTCTCTGTCTCCCAGTACTGTAATCTGTGCCTCCCACCCCACATCTGCCCACCCAATCTACCCAAGTAACCTACAGCTGTTTTACCTGTACTGGTTCTCCAGGGCTCGGCTCTCTGCTCGCTCTGGAACCCAGGAATAGCTGTCAGCAGCATTCTGGGGCTTCTTCTCTTTTATCTCCTCCTTCTTTGCTCTCCGTTTACGATAAATGAGAAGCCCCAAGGCCAGAGCCAGCAAAAGTGAGATGGCCACCACGGTGCCCAGGATGTAGAACAGAAGCAGCTTCTGCCCATCGGTGTCGCTGTCACTGTGTGCTGCAACAGAATCTTCATGTGTGGGCTTGCTGTAGCCAGTGGTCATGGGGAGGTGTGTATCCAACTCCATCCAGACATCGGATGCCTCACTAGGGACTGGTATTTCTGGTGGAACAGAGGCAGAGGGGGTATCCGATCCGAGGGAGGGCCGCCCTGTGGGATATCCTCCCTTGGAGACATTCTCAGAGCCTCTGGAAGAACTGGGCATATCAGTAGGAGGCACAGTATTCCCCTTTCTGTCACCTTTGCCTTCCTTTTGGGGAGAGCTGGTTGATGGTTCTAAAGACACGGAGCCCTTGATACAAGAGACCCCATTGGGAGCCAGCTCCCAGCCTGACTGGCAGCCACAGGTGAAGGAACCCTCTGAGTTGACGCACCGGGTGTCACATGGACTGCCCCTGGAATCCGAACACTCATCTATATCCTCACATTGGGTACTGTCTTCCCCAGACAAGGCATAGCCATCTTTACAGTCGCAGTAGAAAGAACCATCAGTGTTGATGCAGCGATGGGCACAGGGTGAGTGGGCACATTCATCCACATCCTCACAGGATGTGGCCTCTTTGGGGCCACTGGATTGGTAGCCCACCCAGCATTCACACCGGAAGCTTCCAGGAGTGTTGATACATTCCTGGGCACAGGGGGATTCCTGGCACTCATCTATATCCACACAGTGCACTTGGCTAGAGTCCAGCTGGTAGCCTTTGGGACACTGGCACGTGTAGTTTTCACTGAGGGGTACAGGATGACATGTGCCCCCTCCCGTGCATGGGTTGGAGCTACAGGGGTTCCGAGAAGCACAAGTTACTAGGTCATCCAGCAGCCGGAATCCAGGCCGGCAGCCACAGCGGAAGGAGCCATCCCCACCTTCGAAGCAGTCCTGCTGGCAGCCCCCATTGTTGAAACTGCAGCCCAACTTGGGACTGATGCAGAGGGGGCCTGAACTGCCCCAATGGAATACACCTGCAGTCTTTTCCTTGCACAGGAAATAGTAGGTCTTACTCTCAGCCTCATCCCCACAGACTACATTGGCTGCAGAGGCAAAAGGCACAGCCTCCAGGGAGGAGGTGGTGGCCTGGAAAGGGGTGGTATAGGTCACTTGCCCTGGACCACCCAGGGCGAGGGGACTGCACATGCCTTTGAAGTTGAATTTGCACAGGAAACCTTCAATGCTGTTGCCATCAGGGGTCCCACAGCTGGTCTCATACCACCTGGGGAGTTGGCTGGGGTGAGGTGGCAAGGGCAGGTCCAGTATCAGGGACACACAGCGGTTAGAGGTACAGGACCTCTTGCCCTCTTTGTACCAGTTTGAATAAGCTGTGTCCTCTCCACCACCCACCCAGCTGAAGCCCTTCAATGGCAAATCATAGTACGTACACTTGCCCTTCTCTCGCTGGAGCCCGATCCAGAATTTGCGCATCTTGGCTTCCAACGGTTCCTTGGTCTTCAAGAGCTGAGCCAGAGCCTGCTGGACATACCGGGCCTCCTCCTCGCTCTTTACAGTGGCTAGATTGCCTCCATTCTCATGGCAGCTACTCTGGGCTTCAGTGAAGCTCACCTTGCCCCAGTGGGCAGTATAGCAGGCAGTCCCCTGGCACACGACAGCCTCTGAATCAGCAGCAGCCCCTGCCCAGGACTGGCCCAGGAGCAGAAGCAGCAGTAGCAAACCTGTTGAGGTGGTCATTTTGCTGTGTCTTCTGGGAGAGGCTAGACTCCTTCACAACGACAGAAGCTACCACTGGATCTTGGAGCCTGGCACCCGGCTGTGCTGGGAGGGGAGCTGAGGGCTGTGCCTCTGCTGCCAAGCCACCACAGCTCTGGTGCAGAGAAGGTTACAGACTCCAGGCTTTTCACGTCCCCCTGACCCAGGGTGCATCCTGTGCTCTAGTACTTCTTATTTCTCACCGGATGCTGGGGCTTCCTGCCGTGAATAGCGTTCTGACTCCTGTTGCCTTCATCACGGTTTTGTTGTTCACAGGACAGTGTTGCTAGTCTCTGGCTCAGAGCTGTGGAAACGCGGTGGCGAGTACAGAGGAGCCGGGAGATATGGCTGCTTTATTTTGGGTCCACTCACTTTTCCCATAGCATGAAGAGCCCCAGTGGCATGCAATCTAGTGAGCAGAGGCTTTGGGGGCCAGGGACTAAAAAGGATCATCCAAGTAACCCATAATAAAATTCCATTTCAGATTGCAAACCACCAAAAGAGAAAGAAAAATATGTGAGACTTGAGACACAAGGCCATGGATAGATAGAGTTTTCAGCCTTTTTTAGAAGCAAACTGGATCTGCCCGTTTCCTATCTTGTGCCCCCTCCTGTTTTTGGAGTCTTTTCTTTTTTTCTTTTATTCTTCCAATCATGAACTTTAAATAGATAGGCAGTTTTTAAATAGGATTTGGGCCGTGGGAATTTCTGAATTTTCAACAATGCCAAGCTCCCTAAGAACATTAAACCAAATTTAGTGAAAATAGGCCATTTCCAGGGTTTCCTAGAACATTGAGAAGTGTCAGGGTTACAAGAAAGATCAGACTGACAGGAAAATGAAGCCGACCTCCCTTGTCGAAGGGGTTACATGTCTCCGACCCCGAGGCTTAGGAGGAGTTCAAAGGCAGAGCCAGGACAGGCCATACACCTCACAAACTTCTAGTCCAACGCTCCTGAATCAAGATTCTTTATCCAAGCCAGTCATGAGATGGTGGAAACTATGTCTGACTCTTCCCAGACCCCACCCCCCCACCCCCCCCCCACCCCCACACCC